ACAAGTTGAAACAAAGGTTATAACATAGAGCCAGAGTTGAAGTTTTCTAGACACCAAAGAAAAAAAACAAAACCCACAAAAAAATAATTACTATTATAGACTAAACCAGAAAGAGGGAATGGAGCCTAAAGCACAAGGAATCTTGTGAATTAGAGTTAGAACTCTAATATTTTGAAATCAAATAACCAGTGCCATTAGAGTCTACTGCAATATATTAGGCTACCTATGAAGTTGGGCTTGTGTTTGACATGCTTCCCCAGGCAAGGTTTGCTTGCTACACAAAAAATATACAAAAACAAAATATTTAGCTTGACATATATTTTGTATCTGAATCTTGCTTTTAAATAAATGGTAGAATGTATACATGTGGCTAGTAGAACACTATTAACAACAGATACTACGTATCAGTTTCATTTATTGATTTCTGACACAAATCCCTCAGAATTCAGTACAGATGAAAAGATTCTCAGACTTCTTAATGTTTTTAGATGGCAAGTTTGAGTAGAGACTACAGATAGGATAACCCTCATTGTCATTCTACTTGTATAAACTGAGGCAATTTATTGTGTATAATTAAGTCTCTTGAAGGAGAAGTTCATCTGGGTAAAGAGCCAAGGAGAGAAGGAAGATAATTTGAGTGGTTACTGTGTGTTATATATTTATATGCATTGTCACATTTAATCCTGAGAATAATCGAGTGAAATGGATATGCTTAGCCTTACGGTGCTCATAGAGGAATAGAGGCTCAGATAAATTAAACAGCTTTGACCAAAGCGACAAAGTGAACGAGAGACAGAGACTCAATATTGAACTTGAATTTTTCTGGTTTCAAAACTTATCTTCGAAACCAGGTTTTTTGTTGCTATGTACATCTTTATTAGTAATGTTTGTTATCATAATTCATAAAGAATAAATATTTATATTTGCATTATCTGCTTGCCCCTCTGCTCTAATTATGAAAAAAGAAATGGCCACTTTGTGAACAGAAACTGTGAATATTAGTTGTATGATCTTCACTAATAACAAAATAGCTATCTGTGCAAAACCAAAACAGACATATTTTCAATCAGTAAGTCTAGTGCTGTCACTCAGATTTTAACTATAAGGAGCAATCATTTTTAATACATCTTATGAGAAAAATATTTAACTGTGTTTCATGGTACTGTGACAGTTTATGTTGGATTTGAAATATGTGTTCTAAATCTAGGATCTTAAGTCTGCATTAGGTATAATATAAAGGAGAATAAAGAAATAGTGATTTATAACAAATGAGCTTTACTGTGAATTGAATATGATGCTATTTCATAAAATGTTATTAGACTTTTTAAATTATGAAAATGTATTAGGCTATTGTGGTGTAAAAATTGCCGTGGTGGAATTTGTATATCCAATTTTTTAGAAGCAACTGTACCATCCTTTGGGTCAAATTATCCATTCCAGATTCCTATTCAGTTAGCTATAATGTTTGAAAATATGACTAAACTGGCTATCAAAGCACTAGCCAACATATGCAATATATTATTCTCTCATTAGTCTTTCCCTGAAAAGATTTCTTCTAAATAACTTATCATGGCTAGAAAAATGATGTCACCAAATCAGAATGTTTTTCATTCAGTCATAGTATTCAGTGTAGCAGGAAATAGTTTTGCATGACAGTACACATGTAAATGTCATTGCATATGTCATTTATGGTGTATACGGTTGTTATGCAAGATTCACAGTGATCATGTTGGAAAAAACTGTCTCTGATGCTCTAAATAAAATGTGCTTAGTAAAAATTACTAGCAATTTTTTTCTAGACATATACTGGTAAGAGCACAAGACAAAACTACCAGAAACAAACCATATCTCAAGCTGTAATATCTACAGGACAAGTGATCTAAATTTCTGGAACAAGGGAAGTTAATCACTACACTGCAAAAGGATCTGAAATATAATCCAAAGGCAAGTGAAATATCGATTCCAAGCTTTGAAATAACAGCAACAAATTTACCTGAAAATGGAAGATGCATGGAAGCAATAAACAAATTATACAAGTCTTACACATGCAATCTGATTATTCTGACCAAAGTGTTAACTGGATCCTAACTGCCAGATCTGATGTCTGTGGTCTTGTAGTGGGAAACCATTCAAAGTGATGAACTGTAATTCACTGAGCTGCTTGAAGTACGTGTAATTTACTGTATGTCATGCTATGAAGAGCCTGACCTAATGGACTTTGCAATACCTATAATGCTAGAAAACTTTCAACAAGACTAGTTGGTAAAAAGTAATCATAGAAGTCTATTGAGACAGGATGAGCAAAACTATATCTTAAACACAGCTTCATAATCTTATGGAAAGTCAGTTATTAAAATAGGTGCAGCTATGGTAAAATAGTACTCTATCAAACATAATTTACAACAGTATGATATCTCATAATGTAAAATTAAATAGAGGTATAAGATATAAAAAAGACTGAGGGTAGTTTCAAAATCTAACCTAAGTGCTGTAGAATACATCAGGTTTCAGCTATTCATGGATGAAATTCCTTTGCTTTCATAAAATATTGTATTTCATAATAATTGCATTTGATATCTACCTCATATGTCTTAAACAAACGTTAGAAGGAAATGTTTTAGGTAAGAGAGAAATAGAACTATTCTGCATTAACCAAATAGATCGATTGTTTTGAGGATACATTCTGGGCAAAATTCTCCCACCTACTGTTTGAAACTCTGAGTTTAAAATATAAGGTTTCGCTGTGATAACTTATAAATGTTTATCGACTATATCTAAACAGTTGTCTGTTTTGTCTATTGTACTGAAATTTTGGATGTCAGTTTTTGTTCATGAAGCCCTTATATTACTTCTAAAGCCAATAGGTTACAACTGTTCTATGAGATGTTCTAATAGAATTTGTTTCAGCTGCACATTTTAGAGATGCTAGTTTATTTTTTATGTAACTTGAAAATATGATTTCAGTCTCTTCTGATTTCTATGAAGAATATCTATGGGATGGGTAATTTAAGGATTTTTTTAATTTGAGGAGTAGAAGCATATGACTTACATAATATGAGGCAAAAATGTAACTTTGGAATATGATGGTTCTTTTCACCAAGATATATATGTTACCATTGTTTATTTTAGTAGTTACTTGAATGTTAAGCAATCTACAGTCTGGCAGACATGAGCTAATCTGTGATCTATACAAGGTAGTTAGGGCATTCACTAAAAAGTAATTTCTAAGTCATTGGTACAATGCTTTCAGTAAATCTACATGTTTTCCCCTTTCTCCCTGCTTTCTTCCATTGAAGTTGGCATCTGTCAGTTAGCTTCATCAGCAACTCCAAGTGCAGTGAGAGTATCTTAATGATCTGAAATTCTTTGGAGAAGTTGGTGATATTTTCTCATCAGGATCTAATTTAGAGGACTATGTTTCATTCTTGAACTTCAGAGCCAAGGAAAAGCAAGTCAATTTGTAACCTTCTCCATAGTGAACTAGAATGGCAAATCAGTGTACTCAGCTCCAGGAAGGTTTTGAAGAGCTTAAGTCTTTATCAAGAAAACTTCAAAATAGTCAGTAACTACGTCTCCCTATAGCAAAGATGTCCCCCGGGTAAGACCTAAAAATAGTGCATCCTTTATTGAAAAATACTGGAATATTTAAGTCATTTCAAAATGTAATTAAATACCTCCAAACAGGCTAAATATTGTATTGCTTGGCAATGGCATAACTGACCAAGGAGTCAGCACCAATGGATACGGTAAATGTTGGGGATAAACTCTGTTTCATACATTTGTGCTTCAGTAGCTCTGCTGTTAGTAATTTTACTATTTTCAATACTAGAGTTCAGTGTAAAGCACAGAAAGCTGAGACTATAATAATTGAGGTTCTACTGTTCATTTTATGCGCAGATGTTTATGGTGAGATTGCTTCATAAATACTTATTACCGCTAGCCCTTCTAAGTGTAATTTTCAGGAGAAAAAAAATTCTGCAATTCAACCACCATTCCTCTCTATTCACCACACTTGTCAATCAGTGAGTTGCTGTATCTACAGGAATGGAGGTGTTATAGTCTGGCAATTATCATGTCATATACTTGAAAATGTAAATGAATGTGTGTGTAAAATTAAATTTATTGGTTGTCAGCGAAGAATAAGAACCAGGAGAGCAATTACTTCTCTGCTTTCATCTTTTGAGCTCTGATACATCAAGCAGAAAACCATGCAGCTAAATGTTGGAATTAGCCTTGTGTAGGTCCTGTAATGAATGGGCTAGTGTCTTTTGCTGCCTTTTCTGGCTCTTTGTTTTGGAGAGGAGTGAAATTAACATGATTATCATCCATCAGTCTATGAGAGTGCCTATGAAAGCATGAAAGGATCTTCCCTCTCATATTTATTTTTGCTTTCTTAGGAGTGGTCTTTTATCAGGACAGCTTGCTTTTTGTTGAAATTAATATTATTTGTGCTAATGTTGTGAGCTCCATCAAAATCACAATTGTTTTGTTTTTGTATTTGGTGTAATTTATTTTAAAACTTAAAAGGAAATATTTATTAATGTAGACAAATAAACAGGATTAGTTGTTAGCAGAGTTTCCAGAAAACTAGTCTCTCAGTAATTCTGAGAAAGAACTTAATTCCAGGAAATACAGCTAGCTCAGTAGTCATATAAACATTTTTAGTTACTAAATATAAATAAATGATGGCATTTTCATAAATGAGTATAGCTCTTTTTATGGTGTACCTCCCTCCCAAATTGGTTGAACACTCAAGTATTATAATTCTATGTAATTACTGATTATATTCTAGATTTTACAACTTAAAATAAAACCAGGCAATTCAGTTGCAAAGTATTATTGATTTTGTTTGTACGCTGCTCTTATCAGTTAAGGATTCATGTTCTGTATGTTAAGTTTTGGAAAGAATAAAGAATAAGTGGTGATCTGGTCGTCACGGGAGCCGACGATGACGACGTCTTGGACGCCACTCTCCTCGTCTGCTCCGGGCGGCTGCGGCCTGGAGGATGCAGTGCGAGCCAAAACAGACGCGGACCTACCACCCGGAGGGCTTCAAGAAGCGGGCGGCGTGCCTGTGCTTAAGCCAGCGCGAGGACGAGGTGCTGTGAGTGAGTAGCAGTCGGTACCCGGACCGCTGGATCGTGCCAGGCCGGGGCTTGGAGCCCGAGGAGGAGCCGGGTGGTGCAGCGGTCCGAGAGATGTACGAAGAGGCGGGAGTCAAGGGGAAGTTAGGCCGGCTCCTGGGCGTGTTCGAGCAGAACCAAGATCGCAAGCACAGAACGTACGTGTATGTCCTGACTGTCCCTGAGCTGCTGGAGGATTGGGAAGATTCGGTTAGCACTGGGAGGAAGCCAGAGTGGTTCAAAGTCGAAGTTGCCATCAAGGTTCTCCTGTGCCACAAGCCCGTGCATGCCGAGTATCTGGAAAAACTAAAGCTGGGCGGTTCCCCAACCAATGGAAACTCCATGGCCCTGGCCCTGCCAGATAACGATCCCTAATGAACAGCAAAGATGTTTAGGATTGCTCTGAAAGAATCATTGATGTGAACCCATAGTGATCAATGGAATTGCCAAGTACAGGTGAGCGCTTCTATGTTCCCAAGGAGATAGCTCATCTAGTTTTTCTCCTACATCTTGGAACACTCCCTCCCTGTCTATTCTACTGCCTCCTCTTGCTCTGGTTGTTGTACGTGAACAGATTCTTAATTCAGCACCTATAGCCTTTCATTGTGATTTTATGATGTGTCTGCCTTCTTCATTAGACTGTGATATCTTTGAGAGCAAAGACTAATTTTCCTTACTCTTTGCATATCCTGCATTTGAGATACTACTTGAAATATGGTTGGCATCACTGAAGGTTCTTTTATTCAATTGATATTTTGTAATCACTGTGTGGCAAAACATTCCCTTTGCAGTCCAGTGCTAGTGGAGTATATGCTGTTAGGTACCATGTGTGTGGCTTTTGTATATCAGGTGTATCAGAAACATTTCAAGGCAGTTGTAAGATTTTGAGGACAAGAATTAATACTCATATTTCTATGTCATGCCACACAGTTGCTGACAGTTTTAAGAGTACACCATCACTTAAGGCAAAGTTTTGTAACAACTTTAGTGTTTTTGTACTGTTGGTAACTTGCTTAAAATTTTATTCTAAAACTATCACTTGCTATAAAGGTAATTGTAAAAATAAACAGAGTGAACACACACACACAAAGAATAAGTGTAAGATATGCGGTAACTTCTTTCCAATGATCTTAGGAGCCTAATCAACAATGGTGCAGATTTTTTTGGATATGAATGTGCAGTCGAATGGAGTTTGACCTTCAACTGTGATTTCAGTTCGTCAGAATTAGTCAAGCTAGGCGATCAAGACTGCTAGTGCATAATGATTCATAAAATGAAAAATGTTTAGTGACCATACAAATATTTCAGCTAATCAAAGAGGGGAACTTTACCTTTGAGAAGAAAGGAAAACAAGGGCATGACGAGGCCTAAGCCAAAGATGTATGTAAAATAATCTGAGCAGTTTGATTAGCTAGAGTGAAATTAGAAGTTGCATTTTTGGATTAAAACGTATGGTAGAGTATATTATATACCACTTTGCCGTAATCTCTTCAACAACATGCCTATATGAGCAGCCTGGTTCTCACCAATATTACAAAGAAAAGGCTATAATCTCTTTTGAAATATTTGTGTATAACGAAGAGAAGGATAAAACTGGACAAACTCTGCTTCCCAAAACAGAAATCACATTGCTTTCTCCAAGCAATTAATGAATACTAAATTAAAACTAGTGTCTTAAAGTAATAGTAGAAACTGAGTAATGATGAATCACAATTAAAGGGAATCTGTGTCTATTACTGCACTGTGTTGTTCTTACTGTTGTTCCTGTCATGCTACTTCCCTGTTGCTAAAAGATTGCATTAAATAACAATATACACTGTCCATCCCAGATCTTTTTTTTTTATATTTATTTATTTTTTTTTTTTAAATTTGAATTGGAGTCTCACTCCGTGGCCCAGACTGGAGTGCAGTGGCCACTCCCGGTCACCGCAGCCTTGACCTGCTGGGCTCCGGCGATCCTTCCGCCTCAGCCTTCTGAGTAGCTGGAACTACAGGCACGTGCCACCATGCCCAGCTGATTTTTGATTTATTGTAGAGATGAGGTCTCGCCAAGTTGCCCAAGCAGGTCTTGAACCCGCGGGCTCAGGCAATTCACTCACCTCAGCCTCCCAAGGCGCAGGATTACAGGCTGAGCCACCGAGCCCGGCTCCAGATCTTTTTAAATACTCCTGTTCAGTACTTGATGAAAAGCTTACAAATACCACTCAATTCATTGTCAGTTATTTTTAATATGATAAAACCAGGAAACTTTTGAAAGGTTATTATTATGATAGACATTATACATGTAACCAAGGCTTGAATTTGAACAAAGTCTGGCAATTTAATACAATAAATAGTTTCTTATGTTAAAATAAACTATAAATATAGATATTTTAGAGTGGAAAAAAGGAGAACAGAAGAAATTTATCAAGACTGTACAATCAAATGCTTAAAATGGGAGCAGATACTGTAATATGAAGATCAATTTTGCTTTTATTACACAAGTAGTTAATTATAATAGTTACATCTTTTAAGTGACAAGGCAAATAGATCAGTACT